GAAGTTATGTTCCCAGTTGAAGTAAAAATTCTCTCATTAGGAGTTCTAATGAATGTTAAGCTAAAAAAATCTGAATAGGTTTAAAATCGCTACGACTAGTTAAACCTTATTGAAGAAAAAATACTTACAGAACTTTGTCATGGTCAACTATATCAGAAGAGGATGATAAGAGCACATGATAAGAAAATCTGTCATTATCACTTTCAAGAAAAAGACATAATGCTAAAAAAGATTCTTTCAAATCAACATAACAATTAAGAAAAATTGACACAAAATTAGAAAAATCCATATACAATGAAGAAAGTTTTTTTCGATGAGGCATTGATTTTAATAAAAATAGATAGAAATGATTTGCCTAATCTAATAAACTTAAATGCAGTGAAAAGATACTTTGCTTTAAAAAAAAAAAAAGACAAATATATCTAAGTTAAAAACCTGAAAAATGTGGCTTGGATATAAAGGTGAAGTAACATCATGCGATGACTTCATAACACAAAGGCAAATGTAAAAGATCAAAGATGTCATTTGGTTAAGTTTCAAAAAACATTTGAGAATAACTTGTTCATGATTGTTTTGTAATCATTCTTTAGGTATTTTTGTTCCCACCCAAACACTTTTATTGATATATTTTCGTCATCTGTTTGATGAAATGTATTTCATTTTCTTTGAAAAATAAAAATAATACATATACATTCCTTTATCTCATATACCTTATTTGTCCACTCTATAAATGAATAGGAGAAAGGTGTGGTGCATTTTATTTGTCTCAAACTTAAAATGATTAAAAACTAACCAATAACATGAAAGATACCAGCATTATTTTTTAAAAATTGATAAAGTTAGGTATGAAATGACAAGAAAAATATGATTAAGACATTGTTATTGTAGAGTTTCAGAAAAAGGAAAGGATATTGTTGAGAAAAAAATACAATGATCAGATGATAAGGATAAATTGGTCCTATGGCAATTATTGAGAATTTTGATGACCAAAGTAGAAAAAGCGAGAGATTTTAAAAACTTTTTACCACAATTAGAAGTAAATAATTTGATTGCATTACATGTATTGTATTTAGAGTATTTGGTATATGCATCCATGAAAGATTAAGATCACAAGTTATAGCAAAAACAAAGATTTTTCATTTTTTAATGAAAAATAGATTTTTGGCCTTTGTAAAAAGATAATGATCCAATATAAGACCTCAATCCTCAAAAAAGAAAAAAAAAATTTTCAGAAGCAAGATTTCTGTTTCAAGGAAATATGAGAATTTTAAAGTTATGAAGCCTCTACTTAGATGAGTTTTTTTAAAGTTATTGAGACTTTGCTTAAAGAAAGCTTTTAAATATTTCAAAGTTGTGGAGCCTCTATATAGATGAGCTTTTAAATTATTGAGCATCTGCTTAGAGAAGTATTCATTATCAAGATTTGTAAGTCCTCTATGCAGAATATTTTAAATCTTTCAAAGTTACAAAACCTTTACTTAGATGAACTTTTTAAAGTTGTTAAGCATCTGCTTAAAGGAGCATTCATTATTAAGATTTGTAAGTCCTTTAGGTAAAATATTTTAAATCTTCAAAAATTGTGAAGCTTCTACTTAAATGAGCTCTTTGAAGGTTTTTAAGTCTTTATTTAGATGAGTCGTTTTAATTTTTAAAAGTCGTCAAGCCTCTACTTAAAATAGCTATTTAATTTCAAAAGTTGACAAACTTCTGCTTAGAGAAACCTTTCAAATTTTTAAAAAATTACTGTGCCTTTTTTAGGATTAGTAAAAAAAAATTGGGTTCAATGTTTTGTCTTACGTATGTTTGCTCGAACAAAATGGTTTTTTTTTCTTTGCTTTGTTCTCGATTCTTAAAAATATGCGAAGAAAGACAGCTATAAACACCTATTTTATCTGGTCTCATTTTAACATAAATGTAATTTTATTTTTTTTATTCATTATTTTTTTCTTTATTTTAGTCTTTTGTGGCCAAAAGTCACCATGCAGTAAATGTACATGTACATTGCCCTCCAAAGATTGCTTGTATGACCACCACCCTGACACTTCTGCCTAACTTGACAACATAGAATCTGACCACCAAAAGTTCACCAATGACTTTGAAAATTATCATAATTTTTAAAAATTAATATTTGAGTCCCAAAAAGCTCTATAAATAGTATTTATTTCCTGTAAGTAGGGAGAGAAAATAAAAAACGAACCTAAAGAAAACATCCAAATAGAAAAGAAAGCTTTGTTAAAACAAAAAACCAAAAAAAAAAAATAACCTTTGGCCGAAAGCTAAAAAAAAAAAACCCCAAGAAAAGGGTTTTTTCTTAGCCAACTAAAAAAACCAAAAAAAAAAAAAAACACACACAAAAACAAAAAACCATAGCCTCTAAAATGAGGACCTAATGCCAAAAAAAAAAAAAGTATCAACAAAAAAGAAACACAAGATAAAAAAAAAAAATTGATCGAAACTTTTAAATAAGATTTAGGATTTTTGTGGCCCTTTTTAGTGAAAAAAAAGGTTAGATTGGGGTAAAAGAAGTCAAAAGTTAGATTGAGATAAAAAAATATTAAAAGAAACCATTTAGTATTTTTTAAAAAATTTTTGATTACCAGCGACAACGACTGATGGCAATGACGATAGTGATCGACCATTTTTGGGCAGACATTCAGATTTTTTTTTTAAAGTTTGTGGTTTTTTTTTTTCATGAAATGTGTTGAAATGAATTGAAAAAAAAAGTTTGGTTTATATAGCAAAAAAAAAAAAAAAGCAAAACAATGCCATTTCGAGCTTAAATGATCCACACATTGACTTGAATCCAACTTGAGGTCCACGCAACCCGACTCTGCTCCAATTTCATTAATCAACTGTTAACCAATCTAACTGAACCATAGGTTAACTATCGCAATCAACCAAACTGTATTTTGAATAGTGAAAAACTAAGCTAAATAGTGAAAAATCGCCCAAAAACCATCTGAATCGATCAGAATCATGACGAACTACTAACTCGGTAGTTTCTAGTTTTTTATTTTTTATATTTTTATTTATGTTTTATATATTATTTGAATAATATACATATTTAGAATTTAACTTGCTATAATATAAGATATTTATAAAATAAAATATTTAAATTAAATTTTATTTACATAATAATTTTACATTAAAATTTAACAAATTTGAAGAAAATTTTAAAAAATAATAATAAAAGCAATAAATAAAATAGAAATAAGTATATTTAAAATAATAAAAATAACAATAAATTTTTAAACAACTGCGAACGTGCAACTTATAAAAGTTTTTTTTTTAATTTTACCAGTATGATGGTGAATTTTTTAAAAAAATTCTAAAAATATTTATTTTAAAACAAATAATATAAATTAAAATAAAAAATGACAAACCAACAACAAAAAAATCTAGAAAATTACAAATGAGTAATTTTCTATAGAAAATTATTTTGGAATTCTACTAGAATGATGAAAATTTCAGAAAAACAAAAGAGAATAAAATTAAACAAAAAAGGTTAAAAAAAATAATAAAACAAAAACTTAAGCTTAGGAATAATGAAAATCGCCTAAATCATGGAATTAGAATAAATCATGAAATAGTGATTTTTGTAAGAAATTTCTATGTGTGAAAATTTACTCAAATTTTATTAGAATGTTGAAAAATTTTGAAGAAATTTTTACATTGATGATTTACTTTTATTCCTAAGTAAGAATAATAATAATAATAATAATAATAATAATAATAATAATAAATGTTATAAAATTTCAATAAATCAAAATAAGTAAGAACAATCATTAATCGATAATAAAACATAAATGAGTAATTTTTTAAAAAAATAAATAGAATATAAATATTTTCGATCTTAGTTATTCTAAAATGATGAATAATTTATGATTTAAACCATTTTTTTTTAAAAAATCTTCATATAATGAAATTCTAAAGATCACGGATGACTGATCTTTAGAAGAAATTTTTAAATAGTAAGATATTTCTAAATTTAGCTAGAAAAATGTAGAATAAAAAAATTTTAATAAAATTATAAATTTTTTTTATCAATTTGACGATGAAGTCTCTTCAAAAAAATGAATAAGTTTCTTAAATATTCTTGAGGTGAGAAAAATATTTTAGAAATTTTACTAGAACGATAAAAAAGTCTTACAAAATTTTTCAATATTTAAATAATTAAATTAAAAAAAAACAAAATGAAATAAAACAAAGATCATTTAATTAAAAACTAATTTAATACAATATAAAGTTATTTGATACTATCTTCGGATAGATACTATAAGAGTACTACTTATTTTTTATGCATAATCATACTCTTAAATTTAGTTATGCAACGTAAACTCAAATTTATTCTTTTTATAAAGTTTTAACTGAGCTTAAAATTTTTTAAAAAAATGATAATTTTAATTGGATGATAAATCATATCTTAATAAATAAAAATGATAATAACTTTTGATTTTTTATAACTAGCGATTGAATTTTTAGAGTGACAATAATAAAAGAACTAAAAGTAACCAATCGAAAATGAAACCAATTTGGAGACGCAAAGAAAGAATTTTATATAATTGTTGAACTTGTTTTCTGAGTTTGAGAAGGTACCTAAAAAAGGGGCTACCAAGCAGTAGCAAGTAGCAATCTCCAATGTAGTTTGTGAGCAATGATGCTGATGGATTAAAAAGAGGGGGGAGGGGGGGGGGGGGGATGCCTGCCAACCAAACTTGGATTTGGACGGTGATATTGAGAGTACTTCGGTTGGCAAGTAGATTAGATTAACCTAAATTGTTTGAAGATTTTGTACTATAATAACTTGAATCCAATGAGAGAAAGTACAACATCAACATGGACTAATTCAGATTTTATTTTTTGTTATTTTGCCGAATAAAAAATTATTCGTGCATTAACACATGAACTATGTTAAAATCTTATGATACAAAGTCGGCTTCATATTTTATACACTCCATTGACCTCAAATATAATATATATATATATATATCTATTATTACTTTAGTTAGCGGTTGATGCCAAAGTTGTTAAGAATCAGGACATTCCCGCTCCGTGAGTGAAAAAGATAATATATAAAGAAATGTTTTGAACATGAACCGAGGGCCAAGGAGAGGTGACAGCCATGTTCCCTCCATTTATAGCAACGACCCATTTCACCGATGGGCAACGTACAAGGCCAACATTTTTTTTTAAAGGAATTGTCAAATTTTTACCAAAAATAGAAAGCCTCGGATCTCCGAATCCAAAACCCCCTCTTACCTTATGGCTTCTGCTTGCTTTTTCCGGAAGGAACTCGGAAAAGAGAAAGTAGCGGGTTAAAAGTCTCTTTCTTTTCCTTCGTTCCCAAACAATTTCTTGTAAGCGAAAACCCTGTTTCTCTTCTATTAAAATTGAAAACCTTAGTTATTCCCTAAATGCTATTTCTAGTAGGCTTTTATGATAATACTAAGATAAATAAATAAATAAATAAATAAAATAGATTGATAGATAAATTATATGCGAAAGATGGGTTCATCTTCGTCAGAGACAAAGTTCTTGCAAGAATTGATTTTGTATGCCGCCAGCGCCGCCCTTAGTTGCTTGGTCCTCTTCGCGGGACTCCGACTCCTCGACCCGAACCGGGAAGCTTCTAAAAAAGCACTGGAGCAGAAGAAGGATATTGCCAAGCGCTTGGGTCGTCCTCTAATTCACACCAATCCCTATGAGGTACTTTTATTTTGGGAATTGAAAAATAAATTAATTTGCTTTTATGATTAAGTTGTGAACATTAGTTATCTGTAAAAGAAAATATATGTTTTTATTGATTCTTTAGTGTTTAATTAGGGATTTCCTTAGATGGAATGGAATTCAAGGCTGGAATTTGTGGTTCAAAGTTGCTAAAGGGATATGTAGGGAAGGGTAGCTTGCTTTTGATGGTTGCTGTTTGTTATTTGTCTTTTGCTTTTCAAAGTTGCTAAATCAAATTCATGAATGTAAAATAATTAGCATACGGTAAGTTCAACTCGTATCTATTCTTTATAAATGTAAAATTATGCGTTTTCTTATTCATGAAATCTAAAATTTGAAAAGCGAGTAGCAAAAATAACAACTATATGACAGCAGTTACCCAACTAAACAATGCATTACTCAAAACAACTACTAGAACTCACCCGGAATACACAATAAACTAAATAAAAAAGATTTCCTTCTGTATCTTCGCAATTACCGTCATGTTCTGATTAACAAAGAATTCATCCATGCTAGTAGAGAATAGTTAACCAGCCAGCTACCTATAATCTTAGCAGAAACTGGAATGCTAGCTCATGATAATGTGTTTTTTCAGCCTTTATTGCGGGCATTAGTGAATTTCTGTTTGATTTCTGTAATTTGCTAGAGGTTTCCTTCCTTTTATTTATTTATTATAGGCATCAGTGTCTTGTTGTATAACTAGTAGTATCACATCTTTGATAGAGGCTTTTCTTCTATTTATTTATTTATTTATTATTTGCATCAACATCCTCCTGTATGTCTAATAGTATCACCTCTCAGAATGCATGCCTACCAAATATACTTTGAAATTCATGCTCAGTATATTCAATAATCCCAAATTTAGGCTGTTGAAATATTTGCTTTGAGATATAGTGTTCAAATAGCAGCAAGGGGTCCTAACTGTTAACTTCTATGGTTGCCACATACCTATACTTTTTCGTTCTAACAGGATGTAATAGCATGTGATGTGATAAACCCTGATCACATTGATGTGGAATTTGAGTCTATCGGAGGATTGGAAGCCACCAAGCAGGCTCTCTATGAACTAGTGATTCTTCCATTACGGAGACCAGAGCTGTTTTCACATGGAAAGCTTCTTGGTCCTCAAAAAGGGGTTTTGTTATATGGACCCCCAGGTACTGGAAAGACCATGCTTGCTAAAGCCATTGCAAAAGAGTCTGGAGCTGTTTTTATCAATGTGAGGATATCAAATCTTATGAGCAAGTGGTTTGGTGATGCACAGAAACTCGGTAAGTGTTGTAATGTTAACTTATCCCTATTGGTTCTAGGGCTTTTTGCATTTTTTTTTACTATAGCTGAATACATATGGTTACACGGGGTTAAAATTGGAATGAATGTAATCTGTACTTGCGGTTTCTATCAAGTTTAACTCTTGTGGAAATGGGAGAAGATACTCTTCATAGGTAAAAAGAACTCTTTTAAGATGAGTTAACTGATTTGACCATCCTAAGGTCGTACTGAGATGGTTTCATACCATTTCTTTTGGCTGAGGCCCCAAAAATGGTTTTGTCATCTAAATATGTCCTGTAACTCCAGCATCCACACACAGACAAAAAAAAAATAAAAGATGGAAATTGTCATTGCATATGTAAATAGTAAGCTGGCCTTTCTTAGCAATTAAACATCCTTTGACATGTCTTTTCTGATGGATGTAAGGTCCCTCACAGATCTATTTGTTTTATGTCTCTCAGATTGTTTTGTTTATTTTCTCTTCTACTTTTGCAGTGGCTGCCATATTTAGCTTGGCCTATAAACTCCAGCCTGCTATTATATTTATTGATGAGGTTGAAAGTTTTCTGGGACAGCGTCGTAATACAGATCATGAAGCAATGGCAAACATGAAGACTGAGTTCATGGCTTTATGGGATGGATTTACAACTGACCGTAAGTATTTTTGTGCCTAAAAGCTGTTATATACTGTTATCATTCTGCCACAAAGTACTGTCTTTCATTTGTTCTGTGATGAAGGGCTCTTTGAAGAATGTTCTAGGTGTTATTTTCAAATTTATTATTTAAAATTTAGTGATTGTAGATTGTTGTGCAGAGAATGCACAAGTTATGGTTCTTGCTGCAACGAATCGTCCATCAGAACTAGATGAAGCCATACTCAGGCGTCTTCCCCAGGCTTTTGAGATAGCAATTCCTGGCCACAGGGAGAGGGCTGAGATACTGAAGGTGATTGTGAAGGGTGAGAGGGTTGAAGAGAGCATAGATTTTGACTACATAGCCAGTTTGTGTGAAGGGTACACAGGTTCAGATCTTCTTGAACTCTGCAAGAAAGCAGCATACTTTCCTATTAGGGACTTATTAGATGAGGAGAAGAAAGGAAAACCATCTGGAGTAAGTGCATTTTATATTTATTTTGTGTGTCCATGTGCTTTCTTTCTCTAGTTTTGCTGAGGTTCAGCATATGTCTCTGAATGATCTCACTCTTTCAGAAATATATATTTTTTTGAGGTAGATCTTGTTTGGCTGTTTCTGTTATGTGATGAGGGACAGAATCTAACTTTTTTTTTTTCGCAAGTACTTGATTATAGATGGAAAGACTTAGAGGATTAGATTCTAGGAAGATCTTTTTTTTGTATTAAACAAAAGCCTATGAGTAAAAGTTCTTTTTTCATGTGGAATTGATCAACTTTGGTCACTTACCTGCAGCCTTCATATTTTTAGCTACATATCTTATGAAGTTCTTGCCCATGTTCCATTGTTTGTTTTTCAGGGTCCAAGGCCATTATCACAAACTGATTTGGAAAAAGTTCTTGCCACATCAAGGAAGACTGGGGTTGCTGCAAATGAATATAGCAGGTTAAGTTCACAGTTATCTGGATGGTCAAGGCAGGGGGAATCAGATGATTATCAGGTTCAAGCTACAATTAATGAATTATCGAAGCTTGTAGTTTCTCAAATTGTAAACCTTCAGTCAGATTCCCATGACTCCTAAAATTCTTATCTCTATACTCAGATTCTGCTACATGATATGGTGTTCTGTAATACTATGCCCAGAGCATTAGATTCTTTTTCGTGGCAAAGCCTGCTTATTAAGATTTGAGGTGACATCTTATGTAAAGCTTGGGATGGCAGCTTTGAAACAGTTAGAACTGTTATAGTCACTAAGTTATTCATTTAAAGTAACTTTCATTTTGCCTTTTGGGTGCCTGGCCTCCAATTCTTTTTCCCCATAATTTTAGATGCAGCAATTCCAATGGAGCTATCGAAAGTCAGCAAATGAAATCTTTCAATTGCAGTATATTACAGAAACCCCATCGATTCAGTTTAATTGGGATGTTATGTGGTGGACCACTGTTAAGACCGTAGACTGGAAACCGATTTGGTTTTTCTATTCCACTTTTTGTTGCTTGATCTGAAAGATCTCTGTAACAAGATGGGTGTACTCATTTTGGGGTGGGGTTGGGGGGTTGCAGTTCCCATATTTTAATGTGAAAGCAATAACTTATGTTGAATGCATCATTGGAGGTTGCTTTTCATAGTTTTTTGTTCGTATGATTTACAGGTTGCAAACAGCCAGGAATGATTGTTGTCAACTTATAAAGAACGGTGGCTGTTGAAATGGGGTGGGTTGGAGTCCAGTGCTACTTGCTTGCTACCATTTTAAAGTTGAGGAGGTACAGCTCATCCCATGCCTTGAACATTGCAACTTTGTAAGCCTTTCCCTATGTTTTATGCTACCTGTAAGCTTTTTAATAAAATGCAGGTTTTAGGAGAAACTACACACATAAATGCTTAACTTATTGATAAATCTTTATTAAGATGATTTTTGAAGCATCTGCATGTATTTTTTTCTCATCGTATAAATGTTTTTTATTAATTAGTGGTGGAATTAGGATTAAAAAAATTGATAATGGATTTATCAATTTAAAAAAAAAAATCATTAATTTTGTGAACAAAAAGGGTGTTCATCAGAAAATTTTGGAGTTTATATCTGATGAAGAAATTTTTTTTTCAAATTCTTTTTATTTTTCATCAATCTCTGAGGATGTTCATAAAAACTTTTGAAAGTATCTAGTAAAAAAATATTTTTATTTTTTATTTTTAAAATTTTAGGGATGTTCATAGATAGGTGGATCCATCTATGCTGACAACTCTTTTGAAAAATATATAATATAAATTTAACTTGATTGATTTGTGTTTGTGAGTCTAGATTGGCAATCAATTTGGGATTTTTTTCATGTCAAATATATTTATATTCCATATTTTTATCTTACACAGTGACAAGTCGTGGTTAGCATCTCAAAGAAAAGGTCATCTTTCCTATAGTGTACACATTAGACAAATTGCATCAAGAATTTTAAAAAATAATTATTATTATTATAAAATTGTTTAGAACATGTTGTTATGGGCAATTGGCAGTCAATAGAAATTTGTTTTTGGTCTCTTTATCTGTTTGTCCTGAATATGAATATAAAATAACTTAAACAAACAAGAAGCAGCATTGAAAATTTCAGCCTTTTTCTATAAGCGAAAAAAAGGAAAGAAAAAATTCCATTGAAATCTCTAACATTTACAACCTAAATTTTTATGTAAGAGAAAACGGTAGGAAATATGGTCGGACTTACTCGGTCAAAGACTAAAAGTCTAGTACTTTTAGAACACGACAATGAATATGGCTATAGTTTGAAACCGCATCCCCCCACTTTCCGGTTCTCTTCCTTTGTCTGATAATTTCACATTTCTCTCTCTTGCATGATGAAGAAGCAAAGTCAAAATCTTTTTAGACGATTGGATTGAGAGTTGAGACATATAACTTGGTCTAAGCCATGGTATATGTATCATCTGCCCAATTTAAGTGCAGGCGAAGAAATCTAAAAGCAAAAAGCATCAAAATTGAAGAATCTTGATAGATTGCTATTCTTGTCATTTCTCAAACTTTGTTATGGATAGAGTATATGGTGCAGAATTTAGGTGATTTAAGTATACCAATAATCAAATTGCTACCAAATGCACGGAAAAATCAAAGCCCATGTTCCAGTCAAAACCATTGAAAAAGATGGCCAAAATGCGGCAGATTATATTCAATTGTGAATTAAGTCCTAGCTCCTAATAGTCTAGAGTCATCAGTCCAAAACTCTCTGCTTCTCGTGCTTTTGACGCTGTTGCACTTGCCGATTTGCCGGCTCGAGCCAACTTCTAAGGTAGCCCCCCAAAGATGACATCTCCATTTCTCTTTTTATAGCCTCTCCATTTTTGTTCTCCTCCCCAACCCCATCTCCCTTCCCAGATTGTAAACATGATCCTGATACTGTTTACAATCCTGGGCTTGTTTTTGATCCTCCGATTTTTATCGAAAACATCCTTCTTACATATCCTTCTGAAGCTTTTGCGGTCTTTGGAAGACTGGTTTCATGTCTACCAATCCTACAGAGTTCCACAGTTTAACGATCTTTTCCAGGAAAACGAGTTCTATCACAAGGTTTCTACGTATCTGAACTCTCTCCCTTCCCTGGAAGACTCGGATTTCACCAACCTTTTTACTGGTTCCAAGTCCAATGATATTGTTCTTCACCTTGACACCAACCAGACAATTCGGGATACGTTTCTCGGTGCCAGAGTCACCTGGACAATCGAGAAATCTGAAAAAAGTGGAAGGAGAGTGCTCGTGTTGAGGCTCAGAAAGAATGATAAACGCAGAATTCTACGTCCGTACCTCCAACACATACTGTCTATTGCTGATGATATTGATCAAAGGAAGAAAGAGATCAAGTTGCGCATGAACGTTGAAAACTCATCAAGTGAGAATGGACGGTGGATATCGGTCGCGTTCAATCATCCAGCGTCTTTTGATACTCTTGTCATGGACGTTGATTTGAAGAATAGGATCAAAGCTGATCTTGAAATGTTTCTCAAGTCCAAGCAATTTTATCATAGGCTAGGCCGTGTCTGGAAGCGGAGTTATCTTCTATATGGAGCTTCAGGAACGGGAAAATCCAGCTTTGTTGCGGCTATGGCTAGGTTTCTGCACTTTGACCTGTATGACATTGATTTGTCGAAAGTTTCAGATGATTCTGATTTGAAGATGCTCTTGCTGCAAACTACCAGTGGGTCTGTAATCGCGGTTGAGGATCTTGATCGTTTCTTAATGGAGAAATCAAGCGATGTGAGCTTGTCAGGGATATTGAATTTCATGGATGGAATCATATCTTGCTGTGGCGAGGAACGGGTGATGGTATTCACAATGAACTGCAAAGATCAGGTTGATCAAGCGGTTTTGAGGCCGGGAAGGATCGATGTTCATATACAATTTCCACTATGTGATTTCTCTGCTTTCAAGACTTTGGCTAATAGTTACTTAGGTGTCAAGGAACATAAGCTTTTTCCACAGGTCGAGGAGATTTTCCAGGGAGGGGCTAGTTTAAGTCCGGCTGAGATTGGTGAGATTATGATTTCTAACAGAAGCTCGCCAACTCGAGCCTTGAAATCAGTCATCACAGCTTTGCAAACCACTGGCACTAATGTAAAAAGTGTTAGTAAGAGATTGAGTGACACTGAATTGGTTCGAAATTCAAATTCAGACGAAAAGGGTGATCAAGGAATCCTGTTCAGTAGGGATCATTCGGTCAGAGAGTTTCGAAAGTTATATGGACTTTTAAAGATGGGGAGTAGAAGAAAAGAGGAGCCATTAGATTTAGGTTCATTTGACAAAGAAGGTTCAAGACATGAAGCTTAAAACTTGTAACAAAGAGAATTTTGAATGAATTAAAAAAAAATAATTTTTTTATTTGTGATACTCCAATTTGAGAGATTGCTTTTTAGATACCCATTACTGAGAAAAAGAGATTTCAATTTTTTGTAAAAGAAAAATATAGTTTTAGAGTGCCACTTGCCAGGAGATCATGATTTTTCCCCATGCCTCTGTTTTTCCCCAAGCTGAATCCATTTCTAGCCAGAGCTGACTTCTTGAATACTTCAATAATTTCCTATGCTCCATTATTGCAACGCATGTTTCCACCAGAACAAAATACAGATCCCTAGGTCTAGGCTGTACACTAAGATTAAGGACACAAATAAAGAAATTAAAATCCTCATATTTGGCACGAGAATGAGCTACTACCACTAATACAAATCAAACACAGGAAACTCAATTAACCTATTATCGACTAATGCAATATAAATTCCAAAGATATATCATTTGAAAATTCTTTGATTTTTTATGCAACTGAAGCCGATTGGAATATGCATAAAAGTGTATAATTTGAATCTCCAGGGGCAATATTAAAAAATACTTAAAAATTATTTTTGGTTATGTATTGTCAACAGTACATGACTAAAATTTATGCCACGTGGTATCTCTTTCTTTCTTTTTTTCCTCTATTTTTTAATATTTATTTAATATTTTTATAAATTTTATTTTTTAAGATAAGACTGGTCAAACTTTTTTTTTCAAGATTTTAATTGTATTTTTTATGAGATCCATATCATATATTAAGAATGCTGCATTTTTTTATTATTTTATATTTTTATATTTAATAAATTTTTTATATTTAAAATTTATTTTGTCTCATCGATACTAATGGTAAGTCATATGTCAAGTTATTTTTTTTCTGTAAATCTCTTTTTTCCTTTTTATTAATTTTTATTCACTTTTTCTTTCTTTCTTTTTTTTTTAAATATTTACATATTTTTATAATATTTTACTTTGAGACGGATTAAATTTTTAAAAGAGAAACAAGCTCAAGTTGGACACATATTTAAGGTACTTTATCTTAAGTTATTTTAAGGTACATATAAAAATTTATATTTTATTATTTATTAATTATATATTATATTAATAAAATTATTTATTTTATTTAATAAATTAATATTTTAAACTCAATATAAAGTGTTGATGTGACACTACTATGAATTTTTTTTTCATTTTTAATTTTTTTATGTTTTCTTTTTCAATCTTTTTGTTTTTAGTATTTATTTTTTATTGGATTAAATTATATATATATATATATATATATATATATATAAAGACCAATTAAGAAATCTGTGTGTTATTCTTGTCTGTTTTTTATTTTTCATTTTTTTTTACTTAGATCAATTTGTTAAAATATACAGCACGTAGGTATTTTTTTAGTATTTATAACTATAATTAAAAGTAAACCCTTACTAAAATTATAGTAATACTTTTTAAATTGTTTCATAATTTGTTTAACACGTGATATTTTATGTCATTTCTTATAAAAATTATAGAAATATCGTTCCATATTTATTTAATTACATCATGTAAATTACTATAATGCCTCTTATGCTATAAATAATCAAAATTACTATATTATCACTCTTGTTATAATTATTCAAAATTACTATAATTCTTTTGTCATAATTATAAAAATATTTTTTTATTTGTTTCATAATTACATATTATATTTTAACATTAATTCCTTTAAAAATGATCATAATACCCTTCTAATTACTTATGACATATGTGCAAATTAACTATAACACCCTTCTTTCTATAATTAATTAAAATTATTATAATACCCTTTATATCATAATTACTGAAATATACCTCCTATCATAATTGAATAAAATTATTATAATATCCTTCTAATCATAATTACGAAATACTCTCTTATTATCATTGAAAAATTATTATAATGTCTCTTTTACTATATTAAAATTATTGTTTTTTTTTTAAATTAAGTTGAATGGGTGATAATATTGTTGGGCTTTGATTTCATTGATAAATAGGTTTGAATTTGATAACTGATCAATATTGACAATAGATAAATACTATATCAGATATATTGAATTACCATGTATATATTATTGGGTTTGGATTTAATCTATATAATTTTTTAAAATAGTCTATCTTATTTAAAATAAAAGCTAACACATATAAAATTGTAATTGACTGGCATAATTAAGAGATCGATTTTTTTTTCAAAAAATTATATTTTTCAAAAATTAGAAATAAAAAATCAACAAAATACTAAAAAATTAAAAAATTTTAATTTATTATTAAATTAAAAAAATTAAAAAATTTATATTTCATGGCCGGGTGATTTTTCTAGTAACATATAAAAATTATTTAATATAGTATTGGTGAATTGAATTTCATTAATTAAAAAGTTGTCACATAATTGATTAAAGTATATATAAAAATATAAACAAATTAATATAATGAAGAAAAAAACACATAATATTATTTTAACTTTGCTTACGGAGTTTAAAATTTTCATCAAACACTTCATTGAATAATAATTGTGTGTATATTATATTATACGTCCATTTAGGTTAAAAAAATAATTTCCCAAAATTTTATGAACTTAAAGTTGTGAAGGCCTTTAAAAAGCCTGTTTCGTCATTTGAAGATAAAGGCCCCTAAGTGCGAAGTGTCGGAGCTTGGAAGAGCCAGCGGGTGCAGAGTGCTTCCTCACTTTGTTTTGGACTTTTTGTCGTGACGTCTCGTGAAAAGCAAGTGACGGTGACGACGAGATTGGTACTACTGGACACGCGCCAGTCTTTGCTCCCGATTCCTAACTGTCAAAACTCAAAAGTGGTTTGGTTCCCCTTCTTCGCCAATCTCGATTCCCGCTGCCGTCTACGGCTATTCACTTGTCCCTGCGGTTTCCGATCCTCAATTTCGAGCTGCCAATTTTCGCTTGATCTCATCGTTTTTCGCTATTTTCCCTGGTGATTTACAAGAATTGAACGGTAACAGCATGGTAAGATCTCACACTTGGATTAGATTCCATTTAGACTCTAAAATGCTGTTTATTTAATGCAATTCGGGTTTCATCTTAATTTTTTTAAATTAGAATTTCCTGATTGGAGCTTTCAAGCCGGCTTGTAATTTCTCGATCACGTTTTCCGATGGAAAATCTCGCAAGCAGGTATCTCTCTTGATCATCTCAGGTTTAGTTTCGTGTAAAAAGAAAATTAAAATTTCCATTTTTGTGATTGTTTAGTTTTCTTTTTTCTTTTTTTTTTCACGAGTCTTGGTTCTGGATTCTGGATTATTGTTATGTGATTAGGTCCCAATGAAAAAGGAAAATGGCCAAACAGTTATGGTTCCGCTTTTCCAAAGTCAAGAAAATATCGCTGGGAAGGTATTTATCTAGTTATTTACTTTTAGCTGATTTTAACAGATTGAGGATCAGATCATTTGAATTTATAGTTATAACTTTGAATGCCTTGTTATCAACTTTAAGTTTTTGAAGATTTTTCTATTCTCTTCCACCTTTAGATTTCCATTGAACCACTTCAAGGGAAGAAAATTGAACATAATGGTGTGAAAGTTGAGCTCCTTGGTCAAATAGGTTTGCTCTTGCTCCTTGTTCAATGTGTCAGTATATGTTTTAAATATCATCATTCTGATGTGGTGGCTGAATTAGTGAATAAGGTTGAACATTTTAGAGTTTTGTTTTTTCTAGTTGGAATGAAGTCAACGCTAACTTTGCTTTTGCTTTCCAGAGATGTATTTCGACAGAGGCAACTTTTATGACTTTACCTCTCTTGGTTAGTATATTATTTTATGACTTTACATTTGTTTGCTTTGCCTGGAAATTGTTTAGATGTTCTTTATTTTCGTTACTTGCATATGACTTGGATGGGGGTAGAGATAAGAACTTGAGCGTTTAATTTGTGCTTTGCAGTTTATGATTATTCTTATCCTTCTTTCACTGGTTTAGAGGCTAAAAGATGTGCATGAAAATTTTTGTTTATACTAAGTTCTTGTAGATTGTTGATTGGTTTGTATTGTTTACCATTTTTATATTCCTAATATTTGCAGTACGTGAATTGGATGTTCCTGGGGATATATATGAAAGAAAAACGTATCCATTTGAATTTTCTACAGTTGAAATGCCATATGAAACTTATAATGGTGTGAATGTGCGGCTCAGGTATGCTGCCCACTGCTTAAAATCTTTGAAGATAAAATTTTGTTCAAATTTCTTATGGTCGATTTGAGTGGGGTGTTTTGTGATCACTAGAAGTTTGTGTGCTATGTTTTCTTGAGGCTTATATATCAGTTTGATTATCATGATAATAGTTTTTGGTTACTTACCTTAATAAAGCTTAGAAATTACTCTGATATGTATTATTAAAAGATGCTAGTTGTAATAGTTTTTTATATGTATTATTTAAAAAAAAAAAGATGCTAATTGTGGGGTTCTAAAATGCCATTTTGTTTTGTTGGTCCATGGATGAGGTTGGTGATTTGAGGCTATAATGTGAAAACTCATGTTACAATAGATTGATTATTTGCTTTTCTCAGGTACATTCTGAAAGTGACAGTTAGTCGTAATTATGGTGGAAGCATAGTGGAATACCAGGACTTTGTGGTAAGCATTTCCATCTACACCCGCTTCCTTTCATTCTTTTCATTTTAATATTTGTTTTCTCTCTATCTCCTCTCTTTATCTTCCTATCTTTATCTTTTGCTATCCTTATGGCACCTCACTTTCATATGCAGTAGTAGAATTATGCAAATAAGCATATATAATGTTGTGCCACAGGAGGCAGAACTTTAAGCTCTGCCTTAACGTGAAAAGTGCTTTTTCCCCTTTATTCCTGATATAATACTGAAAGCCAGCATCATCTATTTGGCCTTTCATTATGGTTTCAGGACATTTACTTTATCATTGTATATAGTACACTATTGAGTGCAATTTACAATTGTCAGTGTTGCGGTTGTAGCTACTTATCTTTTGCTTGGTTTTTGCGAATCAGGTTCGCAATTATTCTCCACCTCCATCAATCAACAATAGCATCAAGGTGAGTGCCATTGTCTTAATACTAATGTGGTGATTGCACTGTGGTTTTCATTGGTAACTCAACTGATTCTTATGAACGATAAATTGTTCTTTTGGCCATTTTCTAATGAGCTTCCCACCACTAAATCGTTGATAATATTTAATTTTAACAAATATCAATCCCATCCGCAGATGGAAGTTGGAATTGAAGATTGCCTACACATTGAGTTTGAGTACAATAAAAGCAAGTAAGTTGAACATCTATAGATCTTGCTTAAACGTGACAACATAGGATTGCTTAGGTCAGTGCATGTTTGGGATTTAAGCTTGCTAGCTTAAACTATTATAAGAAGCAATTTTCCTAGCCACTTTCTATAACGTAGGTTTTGACTAGACATTGAAGTTCTTGCTTATTGGAATCCAAATTGCTCAGGTATCATCTGAAAGATGTTATTATTGGCAAGATTTATTTTCTTCTTGTGAGGATCAAGATTAAGAATATGGATCTTGAGATCAGGCGTCGAGAATCAACAGGATCAGGAGCAAATACCCATGTTGAGACAGAGACGCTAGCTAAATTTGAGTTGATGGATGGTGCTCCAGTCAGAGGTATGCTCATAACATCATATTTCTTGCATATTCTAAGACCTGGTGTGTTAGATATTTGATACAATTAGCTTATATATAATTGACTGAACTTGTGTTTTTCTCTGAAGGATGTTACTTTGGGAAGAATTTTAGTTTTGATGCATAAGATATTTCAACTGTAACTGATATATATATATATATATATATATATCATTTTCCTAAAGCATAGTGCTTATAATCATGTGCTTGGTGTTGAAGGTGAATCAATTCCAATCAGGTTGTTTCTTAGTCCTTATGAACTGACACCAACACATCGCAACATTAACAACAAATTCAGTGTGAAGTACTACTTGAATCTTGTTCTGGTCGATGAAGAGGATCGTCGGTATTTCAAACAGCAGGAAATTACAATATACAGGCTGCAGGATTCCTGATTAAGCATCACGTACACGTAAACTTGACATTCCATCTGGTGAAGAAGAAGAATTGATTAACTGCCTTGTGGAAACCTTGTAAAGCCTTGAAGCTTAGGGTTAAAACTACCGGAACACAGGGCTGTTTCTTTGGAAGTGCTAGGCTTTGTATACTTTGTTTGATTGCAGCTTTGACTCAGAACTTGTGCAATGATGTACACGAGTCATGTGCGGTTGAGGAGAGTATAGTTGCCTTTTGATGCGTCATCACTAGGGCTGCTACCGCCTTTAGACATTATAGTCTACAAATTGCCACTCTCTGTTCTCTGTGGAATTACATGGCAATGACACGAATCATTATCAGTTTTCATTCCCTTGGAATGTGGATGGCGTTTGTCATCTACGATTCAATAATTTACTAGGCGTTTGTCTTTGGACCCTTTTTTGCCCAAAAAAAAAAAAAAGAAGTTGCTAAAAGAGTTAGATGATTGATAAGAGTTATTTGAACTGCTTTTAATTTTGTCATTTTTGTGTTTGTGTCGAGCTGTTTGGATGCTTGTTTTAGAAGTGGGCCATTATCTCTTGCAAAATCTACGTTTGTGTTTCATGTTTTAAGGGGTTTGTCCTAGTTGGATTTCTCTCATCTCATCCTCATTCCAAGCCGGCTGGAATTATCTTCAATAACTATTGTTAACATTTCATTTATCTCCCGAAACCTCAGCATCAGAGCATAAAAGAGCCTTTCAATCACGGTTGTATTTTGGAGATTGCTCTTGGCCACTGACAAATGGTTAGGAGGGACTTCCATTGCCCCTAACTTTCCCTTCCTGTTTTCCACTTGGCGAAAAGTGGTAAACCCTTCTAGGAGCTATGAAATCCAGTAGTTCAAGTAGGCTGAGTGCTGGTAAATCACATGCCCTCTATCACAGATTAAGCTTTCTCTCGATCAAGCAAAAGTTCATACGACATTTGTATAAACGTTTCCACATAAGTTAATCAAGATAGCTTGAAATCTTAACAAGCAACAAGCAAGTCACAAATTAATCTCGAGAATAGGCAATGAGATATTGGGACATAATGAGTGCACATCAGCTCGATCCTTAGTGCTCTCGAAAGAAAAAAATATTTTGTCAATATCGAAAAAGTTACAACGATTACTAAGAGAAGTATCAAGTTCATCACCATCATCGGAGACAGAGGGCTAGCTTTAGATAGGTGGTCTAACATGTACATTAACCAATAAGGCAACTCAACAATCCATCGACTGCTCACCTATTTTAAAAAGCTTAAAAGCTTTTATAACAATACTATCAAAGACCATTAAAATGTTTGAAATGAGCACCCTTTTTCCTAGCATATGAGATTTGTCTTCCCCCTTAGCACTTTTACCCAATCATAACCCTATACAAGGGTCGCTTATAACATCTTATGCCTAGTCATGGCCCTATACAAAATTCGCTCATAATATTCTCCTTTATTCAATTTGGCACATTTCCATCGATTTGCTTGCATGGAATTCTTCAATCTTTTGCTTGAAGGCTTAGAGGTCAAGGTCTCTCTCCAAACTGATTTCTTTTAGTTCTAAGCCCTCCCACTTAACTAGATACTCATGGATTGGAATTCGAGACACCTAAGTTACCTTATCAACTAGAATCTCTTCAACTCAATGTTCTAATGGCAATTTCATAATGATGGCAGCCTTGGTTGGTTCATTATGACTTGCATGGCAAGGCTTTATGTTGCTTACATGAAACACTAGATGCACTTTCATCCATTTTAGATAGTTGATTTTGTAAGAGACATTTCTCACTCTAGAAAAGATTGTCACTAGACCCTCATACTTTTGTACCAACTTATAATCATGTTTTTTTTAGGAATTTGGTTTGCTTGAACACTAGTCTGACAAGCACTAAGACACCAACTTTGAATTGTTAGGCCCTTTGACATTTATTTATCCATTTCTTCATGCGCTTTAATGCATTCTTTAAGTACGCTTGTGCAATTTTTGTGTTTTATCTCCATTCCTTGGTAAGGTTGAAAGAATTTGTGCAATTAAAGAATTGTATTAAACCCACCCTTGCTGGTTCATCCTCAATTTCCTCAACAATTTCAAACACTTTGGATGACTCATGAGAAAAGACTCTTGGAGCATTAAGGGCACCTTTATATAGGTATTCGACCACTCGATGCAGCCCTTAACACAAGAAACGAGCTAATGGTTGCCTTGGCTTGAAATTCGATAGGTTGTTTAACTTTGATTAAGAAATGTCTTGACCAGAAGGCTTTTTATCTGCTTATTCACTAAAAGGTCTATCCATTCTGGCCATCATTATAGTCATTAAGACGTTTGACAACAGTCATGATATTGGCTACATCTTTTCCCTTTTGTCTTTGTAGCTCTGTCCTAGCCTATAGCTTTAGCCCTCAAGGAAATAGAACATCTTATCATTTTTAGACATGTTCCTAATATCTAACATTAGGGTAAAGAAGCTCCTTACAAACTCTCATACTATTCCTATTTGCACTAATTTTCAAAGCTTCCATCGGGCCACATACTTTACATTTTTAATAAAGAATTGATTCTTTAACTCTTATTTAAGATATGCTTAAGTTCGAGCATTCATCATTTAGAAATTTAAAACACCACCATAACTTGGCATTTATAGCAATATACATTACGACTATGACAACCTTATCTTTTTTTAAATCTGTGCACAGCTTGAAAATATTGTTTAATATCAAATAAGAAATTCTTAATCTCTTTGGCATCTTTTACCCCTTTATAATATCGAGATTTAAGCACCTTGATCCTTTTCCCTTTTTTCGTGGAGCTAGAACCAAACCTGGCAATAGGCAATTATAAAACACTAAATTGAGCCTTGAGCTCTTCAAACTCTCTTTGAAAAATGCTTATAAAGTCTCTTATCTCATCAACTAAACATTTTAGAGTCTTAGACAACTCCTATTGGGCTATCTTAATCTATCTTAATCAATCATGGGTTACCACATGAGCTTTCAAAGCGGTTATCGTGGTTTTGAGCTCCTCAATCCTTTGTCAATCTTCTGATCCACCACTTGTTGTAACTATTTTTTTGTTTTAATACTAACACTTTTCAATTGTGCTCTGATACTACATGTTACAGACTAAACTTTCTTTTAATGAAATAATAGCTTGTACAACACTTGGATAAATGCTTCCATACAAATCAACCAAGATAATTTAAAATCTAAACAAGCAACAAGCAAGTCACAAGGTAATCTCGAGAATAGGCAACCAAATATCAGGGCATAATGGATGTATATAAGCTCAACACCTGATGCCCTCAAAAGAAAAAAATATTTTATTAATAATTTTGAAAATTACAACTATTACAGAAAGAGTATCAAATTCATCATCAACAACCAAGGTAAAAAAATAATTTTAAATTGATGGTCTAACATATACTTTAATAAGTGAGATAGTCAATAATCCACCAACTGTTTATCCTTTCCAAAGAGCCTAAAAGCTTTTATAACTATACTATAAAAAATTATTATAATATTTAAAATAAAAATACTTTTTATTGGTACATGAGATTTACCTTCCTTTCGACACTTCTATCCAATTATGACCCTATTCAAATATGGCACATGATATTCTATACCCGACCATGACCCTAGCTCATGATAGCCTCCCTATATTTCCCTTGAATTGCATGTAAATTTGATTAATTTAAGTTCACGGACTTCTACCAAAACAATGGGTTAAGAATGAGTGCCCCCTTTCCTAGTCAAGTTTCGGTTGATTATTAATTGGCCATCACATGCCCCATAATTATCAAAGCCCGACCATTGTCAATCTCAATTGTCGTATATATTATAACGGATGGCAAATTTAGAGTGGATTTCAGCCTAAACCATGATTAAATGCGCTTGTTAAAATGGTTTTCAGCCTAAACCATGTTTAAATGCGCTTGTTAAAAAACACTAACACTAGACGGTGATTCCGTTTTCATTTTTCACCGATCCAGTGATTGCCAATAGCCGGATATAACAACGCAGCAGCCAATCAGATTTTTATCACGTACACGGGAAAAGAAAATATTTGAAAACCTAGAAATTCTTTCATCATGATTGAGAATTTTCGCAGTACAAAATCTGGTGGCAGTAGCACCAACCGTGTTTTATCATTATGAAATTAAATAAAATTCCTTCAGTAGTGAGCCTCACAAGGTGATCCAACGGCTCTACACATTTTGATAAGGCTAAAGGGTCCCACTTCACTTGATCAGTTTCAGGATCCAAGACTGTCGTCAATGCCATGGCCATCTGACCACCGACACTTACGCCTTAGTATTCTTCATATCGGACAACCCAGATCCCGCCACGTGTCAACCTTAAAAAAAAAAACCCTAAAAATGACCCACTTGAAAAAACGCGTCCTCCTGGTTTTCATCTTCTGTTACGTATCCCAACCATTTCTCCCGCACCCACCACGCTATTTCCCATTGTACCTTACTCGTGTTCTTGATCAAATCAAAGGTACAACTATTGAAATCACACTTTCAAAAAGGCACTGAAATAGAGGTTTCTGCAGGTAATAAAAACCCAATCTCCAGCAAAGCATGCCATGATATATCTGCATCTGTCTCTCTTTTAGAGCACTTAAAAAAGAATCCCAGTGTGCAGAGGACACATTGGCTTTGGCATCACAGCTTTATATAAATCTCTGCATCTCCCCTAGAAATAGAAGAAGAATTTGGGTTTGTGTGAATAGTAGGAAGAGCAATGGAGCTGTTCTACTTCGTGGTGTTCGGGGCATTGGGAGCGGTGGTGGCAGCTTTAGAGCTAAGCAAGACCAGCAAGGATAGAATCACCACGTCCCCTGCTTTCAATTCCTTCAAGAACAATTACCTTTTGGTTTACTCTCTCATGATGGGTAATTGATTCTCCTCATTTTTATTTACCCATATCTGATTTCCATTTCTATCCTTTAGATCTCACTTTTATTTTACATAAACATGGATCTGATCTAATGCTGGTGATTCTTTTTGTGAATCCAGATACCCATTTCTTAGATTTTCATTTTTATAGCGTGATTAGGGTGTTTTTGTGATTTTTTTTTTTGGTGGATAATGCTTTTGTTATTAGTGGCTACTTTGAAAAGTACTGTTTTTCTTTGATTTGGAAATGGAAAACGGGCTCATCAAAAAAAGAAAAATGGAAAACGGGATGCATGCATTTGTTTTAGCTTGTAAAAGAAAAGGTAAGAGTATAAGACAATAACTTCCAATAAGTAATATGTGAATTTTCAGTCCTTTTCTGTTTTGTGGTTGAGACATTGGATCCGGGTTTTTTTGTGGGTTGGAGATAGGTCGCTATTGCCTGGTTTTATGGTTATGTCTGGTTGATGATGGTTTGGATAAAAAATAACCTAAACTTTAAGGATGAAGCTGCCCATTGTTCCTGGAGCTTAGATGAAGTCCTAATTCATGCTGAGTTTAGTAGTTAAGATGTTTTTCCTCAGCTAGTAAAACTAGCTGAAAGAAAAACAATGTCGCATTAATTTCTTCAATGAGTTTCTAGAGGGATGGTGCTTTCTAGGTGTCTCCTTGGGATTAACAGTCTGAAATGCTGCTGGTCAATAATTTGACTTATTGTATCAAAATTTGTGGTTAATCTAGCACTTGATACAAGTCTTTCATGACAATGTTACTTGATTGGTGTAACTCACGATCATATTCAAATGAATCATAAACATATTACTAGTTATGGTTGGAGATCTTTTTTCTAATGAAAAATTCCCACTATAATTACCTACTGAATCTAATTCGTTTTGGATGTATTATCTTATCTGTAGATTTTTTTTTCTGGTAATTGTGAAAGATAACCTTTTTATATTGTGGTTATTTGGCATACATCTAGCTTGCTGTTTTGATAAATGGTTGTTTATGTTTCAATAGCTGGAGACTGGCTGCAGGGACCATATGTTTACTATCTGTATAGTACATATGGCTTTGGAAAAGGGGAGATTGGACAGCTTTTTATTGCTGGTTTTGGATCCTCCATGTTGTTTGGGACAATTGTTGGATCTCTTGCTGACAAACAGTAAGTTTTACTTTTGCTTCTCTTTCGTTTTTTTCATACTTTATGGATTAAATAACTTGTCTCAATACAAAAATACCTATATGTGTTTAATTCAGGGGCCGGAGGAGGGCATGTGTTACTTACTGCATAACTTACATTCTTAGCTGCATCACAAAGCATTCTCCTCAATACAAAGTTTTGATGATAGGTCGTGTTTTGGGAGGTATTGCCACCTCTCTTCTGTTTTCAGCATTTGAGTCATGGCTTGTTGCTGAACATAATAAGGTGAGGCATTGCTTCTATGCCCTTTACTCTTAATGCATATCAGGCAAGCTTACAATTTACATTATAGATGTGTTTGCTTATCTGCCCTTTACTCTTATTTTTAGTATTCTAGATGTTGTATGTTGCTTCCTGTCAGGTTGTTTTCCACCCTGCCATATTTTGAAAAAAATTAATGATTTTCAGATATTATCATATCACACATGATACATAGGAATATTTTAACTTTGTTTCTTGAATTTTCCACCATTGTTGTCAAAGATGGTAAGGCATGAACCATCTAGTTCTGCTTTGCCACATTCTTCTATGAGCTTTGTCTGCAGGAATTGATGTTGATATCTCCTTTAAATTTAATCTTGTTCTGAAAATTCTGTTTCTGGTTCTAATCATTGCAGAGGGGCTTTGAGCAACAGTGGTTGTCACTAACATTTTCAAAGGCAATATTTCTTGGAAATGGTCTCGTTGCCATTTTGTCTGGGTTGTTTGGGAACCTACTTGTTGATTCATTATCCCTTGGACCTGTGGCTCCTTTTGATGCTGCTGCATGCTTTCTTGCCATTGGGATGGCCATTATTTTATCATCATGGACTGAAAATTTTGGAGACCCCTCAGAAAATAAGGACTTGCTTACCCAGTTCAGGGGTGCTGCTGTAGCAATAGCTTCTGGTAGAGTTCAATATTCACTTTAAACTCAATGCATTAATCAGTTTGACATGTTGCAGGCTGAGTACTGTCCCTTGATGCCTTGTTTCTTGTTGTCTTTCTTCCTCTATCATGCATTGATTATTTCCTTTCTTTTCTCTTTGTTTCCTCCTTCATCTAATCTTCTGTACGCTTCAGATGAAAAAATTGCTTTGCTGGGTGCCATCCAGTCTCTGTTTGAAGGTTCAATGTACACCTTTGTGTTCCTTTGGACTCCTGCTTTGAGCCCCAATGACGAGGAGATCCCTCATGGTTTTATTTTTGCCACATTCATGTTGGCATCAATGTTGGGAAGCTCCCTTGCATCTCGATTGATGGCTCGCTCATCACCTAGGGTAGAAAGCTACATGCAGATTGTTTTTGTGATTTCCTCTGCCTCTCTCCTGCTTCCCATTATAACCAATGTATTTTCTGACATCTCTCTCTCTCTCTCTCTGTGTGTGTTGATTATCTTTTAAGTGATTCCTAATTGGATGAATTTGCAACAGTTCTTGGTAGCACCTTCTAAAGTGAAAGGTGGAAGCATCTCATTCGCAGGTTGTCTTCAGCTTCTTGGATTCTGTACTTTTGAGGCTTGTGTAGGGATATTTTGGCCATCCATTATGAAAATGAGATCCCAATACATCCCCGAGGAGGCTAGGAGCACTATTATGAACTTTTTCCGCGTTCCTCTCAATATCTTTGTCTGCATCGTGCTGTACAATGTATGTTTTAGGCTTTGCTATAATAGCTGCATTTGATCATATGCCATAGACAGATATATCTATGCTGGTGGATCCTTTTGGCTTTAACTCTGTTACTAACTAGCTGTATTGCTTTTGCCTCTGAAGGTTGATGCATTTCCCATCACTGTTATGTTTGGTATGTGCTCAATTTTCCTCTTCGTGGCATCTTTCTTGCAAAGACGGCTGATGGCAATTTCAGACAAGCCAAGTATGTACAAAATTATTTTTCATGCTGCTTTCTATGCATATCAGGTTACTCTTTTCTCAACTTTTTAGTGGTTTTTCTTTCAGAGATGGAAAATTGGACAGCAATTAAGGAAAGGGAACCTGAGGCGGAGCCACTAAATGATTGAGTGATGTTGGACGGCAGCAGGGACTCTTGGCATGTTGAAAACAACAACGTAATTCATTTCTTCTGCTGTTGCAGTTCCTACTCGATGGAGGGTTGTATTTTGATTTTATAGTAGAGATTCCAATGTATAAGAAAATAGTGGTCTGCCCAGTAAAGAAGATGTGGGTTATACAGGTCACTTGATTTTCATGATTGTTTTGGGCTGTCAGTAGACCAGCACCGTTGTTTGTCTTTTTTTTTTTTTTTTTCCTTTTAAGTAGGAATGCAAATATCCATCTGTTTAAGTCTGATATTATTCTTTTCTAAACTGGTCTATAATTTGTTTTATAGTTTGCTCAAATAAGTTTTTTGTTCAATGAAATTGCAACAACTAATTGATGAAGCATCATTTGGGATCTGTCACCCTTAACAATGTCTCTGCAGTGAGAGATTGTTCCTTTTTTTTTTCTTTTTTTTTTTTTGTTTATCTCCAATAAATGATACGTCGAGACTTAGAATTTAATTGTTATGTCTGACTAGGTGAAAATGGTTACCTTTTATTTATGTCTTTAATTTCTGTTTTGGACAGAAGCATCTGCTTAATAGTTAAAACTAAAAAAAAAAAAAATTGGGGCTCCATTACCATAGCTATAAGCACAGAAATAACATTATTTTCCGTACTATTCTTTCTTTCTTAACGCATGCATATACAAAAAAGAAATTTGAAGTTGAAACATTTGACCTTAGGATGTTCATAGCACCCTACCACGTTTGGCATCGGCGGAAGCAACTTCCAAGTCGCCTAAGAAAAAAAGGATTTTGTCAAGAATCCCTCGACGGTGTTCCCCCTCCACGTTGGAAGTTTCTTCCATCACCCTCAAAGCACAGTCTTTCACCCCTTTCCTTTTCCTCCTTGAACCCAAATAACGTTGGATTTGACCTTGATGTACGAGAAAGTAGTCACCACCTTCTCTGATTATCTTCAGCCCTCTACAAACACAAAAAACATCAACAATTCTCACATTATCATCTTCAACATCATACAAATATGACAAAAAATAAATTAAATAAATAATTAAAGCTTATATAAATTACAATCCAACTCGATCACATCTGTCTTGTGTCTCGTACACTTGTTTCCATGATTTTGAATCTGTAGGAGTAGGGGCATAGAATGCAGCTTGATCAATTCCCCACCTCTCTCTGAATAGGTTAGACCATAGCATGTTGTCCGAGGCCAACACCTTCCATTTCCTGCTAACTTTACAACCCCATATTGCAATTAATATATCATCTTTAAATTGACAATAAATTCGGAGCTGATTTAAGAACAATAAACCGGAAATCTCGTCGGTTGATCCAGAATTCAGGAAATAAATTGAATGAACAGTAAAATTCAAGAAACCCACTTCCATTTACCATCGAAATAAATAGTAATACGTCTAAAAATGAAATTTAGAATGAAAAACAAATAAAGAAAATCAACAACTGACGCCATCAAAGCAATAATTCCACAGGGAACTGAAAGAAGAAAACTGAAATAAAAAAAGAAAAAGGGGTACAATACAACACAAATTCCAGAAATTGAGCAAAGATCTCATCTAGAATTTGCTAGTTCAACAGAAATACATCAAAAGAAAAGAACATCCCAAAAAATAAATAAATAAATAAATTGTAGGAGTCGCTGTGCTAACCTTGTGTAGCAGTTGCAAGGTTCTGATGATCCAACAAACAGAATATCTTAAGACAAATATCAGCAGGCAATCTCTCCATTTTTTTTTCTCTCTTTTGTCCTAAAAATGTTTCTCAAAAACTCTAATTTTGAAGAATCCAAAGACAGCAATCCTCTTTGTAGTTTGTCGGGACAAGAAGAAATCCAGAAAGGCAACCTTTTCTGTGTGCAACTATTACTTCCGCTTTTATGGTAGAAAATCTAGTTGGGTGAAATATGAAGTTACCATCTCAACTTCTGATAATCGCTTCACAAGATAGGCCACGTAGGAGATTAGGAACATGTCCTTTCCAAGACAGCGAGTATGATATGTTAAGTAACCTATGGAGAGTATTAAAGTGTTTTGACTGGGACAAGTTGCAGTTAGAACTAGCGAAGTGTTAATGTTTTACCGCGAAAATTGAAAATAATTTTCTATGTAAAAATTTTGAATAAACTCTGCTTCGGTTGCTTTGCATTCGGTGAAAATTGGCCACTCGCCTCTTTTCATACGTGTCAAAACATGTCGTCATTGCTGTCAACCAATAATTTAAAATTTAATAATATTTTCAATAATCTAATGCGAAATTATCATGTTAATAAAGTTTTTGATGATATTTTTTATCATTTTTTCGTAATATAAAGCTTTTCAAGGGATTGACAAACAAGATAGTGATTTTTTTCTCAATAAAATATGGTTGAATTTGAGCAGTCATATCTCTTTACTTTTAAGCATATTTTTTAAAAGATTCTGTGATATTTTTTTTCATGCTCTGTAAAGCGAAATGATCTAAAACCAAATTTATAATGTGTCGATATTGGATAATGAATGCTTTTGCTAGTTTTTTTCATGAAGTAATACGAGTTCTATTTAATTGAATGTACCATCTAGCAACAAAACCAATAAGGCTGCTTTAGAATATATGTATTAACAGTTTTTCATCTTTTGTGTAAGCAATTATTTTTCGATAGTATATAGTGACATGAGCTATCAAATATTTTGTATCATTGTACTTTTCAAACTCCGAGACCTTAAATTTCGACAAGATTATTACATTTGGAACTAAGCATAAACTGGCTACATCTATTAAGCCATAAAAATTTATCCCTTCAACTACTCGTAATCTTTCATCCAACAAGTTTATCTTTTGTTCAGCTTTTGAGCCTTTTAAAGTTTCAACTACCTTCGATTTCAGTTTCTCTTTCTCTTTCGGATCATCCACGTTGAGGACTTGTACTGATTCTACTCCATTTTCCTTAAAGACTGGATTGATTTAACTTTGAAAATACCTTTAAGTTAATACATAAGGCATTCGAGGATAAGTATAGCCTGTCAGGCATGAGAATTGCTGTGGAGGAATGCCTTGGGTAGATTAGGCCTGATATGGGCTATAACTAGGAGGATAAAGAAGATCACAAACATATTGTGATGGATGGTCTTATGGGCTGGTATTTTCTTCTATGACCTTCTTTTTGTTCAACTTGTTTAGGGCTTTTAAAATTTTACTCAACTCCTTTTTCGAGTTTTTATTGGGCTTTCTCTATTTTTTCTAGATGATTTGTATTTTTCTATTCCATTTGCCTAGTTCGAGCTTTAGTGTTGTATTAATGGTGGGTTGTTTGGACAGAGTTTTTGGACAGTCAAGCTATCCTTAAATCTTAAGTACCATAATTAACATACTCATGTTACTAAGTATGTATGCGAAAAAGCTTTCAAACTTAACCTAACTTTTTTAAAAATTCTATATGCATACATGAATAAATGCATTAAATACTTGACACAACAATCTATTATACATAAACACATGAATGTATACACAATAATGTATAAATGCATGTATTGATGTTTGTCACATTATGATGCATGGATAAATCCATATGTTGATGCTGGATTACAATATATAACATACAACAACTTAACAATAAATAAGGATCAAATAAAATTCATCATGAAATTGATATGAATGAAGCTCAAAAGGTCTATTCATTTATCCTAATTAGGGTTATATTCTAACGATGAGCAAATATGGCTCTAACCTAAAGTTGGCTTCTTATATTTTACTACATGTGATTTGAGTTAAATCTAAAGATTTCCAAATTGTTCTCATATCATTGTCCATCATAGACTAGTAAGATGCTCTAATCCTTACCCATCATAAGCTACAAACGAAAATGATTCAATTAAGTGGAAGTATATCACTAGCCATTGTGGAGATTATCATTTTACAAGAGCGTAGGTACTTTACTCTTTTCTAAGGATGACAGAGCCCTGGTATAGAACTCGTATGATGCACATACACGTGATAATGTGTGTGAAGGAACACATATAATTATTCGTAATTTTCACAAGCCAAGTCAAAGAATAAAAAATAATAGAAAAAAATGAAAACAAAAACAATTAATAATTTAAGACCAAGCAAACAAAAAATCAAGGTAATTTAAAATTAATCAATGGCCTGACTCTCAGAGTCTTCAATGGAGTCATCAAACTATCATAATATATAGATTCGTAAACTTATTGTTAGACATAACAAGATGAGTCGCCACTAATATTTTTTGCTAAGGTGTGATTGGCTCTCTTAAGGATATCGCAAGCTTGACTAAAGATCCCTAAAAGAATAAGTTCTAGTCTGCATTTCAGAACTAAGTTTAAGAGTTTGATTATGTATAGAAAATGTTACAGCACCTTCACAATCCCATCTTAAGATAGTACCATTCAATTTTAAATTATCTTAACAATCATCTTGGTTCTAATGGTCTTTTATTTTAATGTTTAAATATTAAAAATAATTTCTAAGATTTCTCTATCAATCTAGTAAAATTTTTAAAAATACTTTCTCATCTCAAGAGTATTTAAAAATCCTATTTATTTTCTTAAAGAGGCTCTGTCATTAGAAAAACTTAATCATTTACTTTTTTGTTGTTAAATTTTTGTTTTATTGAAAATATATATTATTTTTTCACCATTTAGGCCACAATTAGAAATATTTTCTCACCTAAAAATCTATTAAATAATCATCTATTTACGATTATTAAGAATTTCTTCCTCATAATTTATTTTTTATTTTATAAGTTTCATTTCTAAATTTTTCACCATTTAGATTAAATTTAGAAATATCTTTCTTAGAAATTAAACTCTTGTTATTTGTTATTTGTTTCTTAATCTTTAAGAAGAAAATAATATGATAATTTTTTTTTAAGTCTCATCTAAATTCTTTCACCATTTTGGTTAAATTTAGGGAAAAAAAAGTATTTACTTAGAAATCTCTTAGAAGTTCAGTGATTTGTAATTTTTTTTTAGATTTCATCCATGAATAATTGCCATATATTTTCACACAAATTTACAAATTATATTTTTTACTTTTTTAGTTGGAAAAAAATACAATTATTTTTATTAAAAATTCATCTAAATTATTCTACCATTTTGGTTAAATTTAGAAAAATTCCTCAATTAGAGATTTCTTAAAAAATTTATCATTTGAAATTTTCAAGATGTCATCATAGGATAATTGTTAATTTATTTTCAAAATTTCAAAGTTTATTTATATTTTTTTGTAATTTAAAAATAAATATTAATTATTGTTATTAAATCTTTACTTTTTGTTAATTAAATAATCAAAACATGCATTAAAAAAATAGTAAAATAAGTAAATAAATAAATAAAACAAACAAAGAAATAAATAAATAAATACACACATAAATGAGTAAAGAGTACCCTTCAACATGATAAATAAAGCATTAGTATGTTAATAAGGTCAGCAAGTGTCCCATCCATCGTAATTGCAAATGGCTTTGTGCAAGCTTTCCAAGCAAAAGCCAATAGTACCTACTAGCAAAAAGCCTTCACGACTTTTATCCAAATTGGATGTGGTGTTTTGGTAGAGATGGTAGTGGGATGAGGGTGTTTTCTAATGATTTCTCTCTGTGATTTCTATGTCTCTCCTTCTAATTTGTTGTTGTTTTGTACGGGTCTATTTATGCTAGAAGATTAACAAAATTCCAACTCAATTTAGATTTGTTTTAAATAAAAGGAGATATTGATCCCAAATTTGATAAGAATCAACATTTAAATAACCTTTTCCATTTTTTTTCTTCAAAATAATCAGATAAATATTTGAACCACAAGATAAATAGAATAGACAACAATAAATAATAATAATAATAATAACAACAATACAAAGTAATAAATAAATAAAATAAAATAAAATTTAAAAGAATTATATATATATACATAGATAAAAAATAAAAATATAACAAAACCAAAATTCAACAAATGGGGCTTGAATCAAGTTCGAACTCAACTAGTTTAGACCTCAGACTAAATAAGGTGTCTACAATATTTTTTGATTCATATGATCATTATTTACATGGTAAGCAACACATATTTCTTTTCATAAGTGTTCTTAGAGAAAAAAAAGTAAATTAGAATTGATTTATTCCAATATATGTGGTCCAATTAAGGTTAAGTTATTAGGTGATAGTAAGTACTTTGTTACTTTTATTGATGATGTTTTATGTAAAACTTGAGTGTATATGTTGAAAAACAAAAATTAGGTATTATAGTATTTTCAGAAATTTCATGCCATAGTAAAAAGGATAACAAGGTTGCTTTTAAAGTGTATTCGAGTTAATAATCGTAGATAATACACATCTAAAGACCTTGAAGAATATTGTTCAAAACATGAGATCAGGCATGAGATGATAGAACTTAGAATATCATAGCATAATGGTGTAGCTGAAAAAATAAATCGCACCATTATGAAAAAAGTTAGATGTATGCTAAAGATGACAAAATTATCAAAATCATTATAGGGTGAAGCAATTAACACAACTTGTTAGTTGCTTAACAAATCACTATCAATTTCTTTGGCTTTAACGTTCCAGAAAGAGTGTGGATAGGAAAAGATACTCCATACTCTCACTTTTAAGATTTTCAGGTGTAAAGCATTCATGTATATGCTAAAGGAACAGAAGTTAAAACTTGACAGTAGGTACATAGTGTGTGTTTATCGGATATGATGATGAGAAATTTAGCTACAAGGTATGAGATCTAATGAAAAAAAAGATAGTAAAAAATAGAGATGTGATTTTTCATAAAAAAGACATCATAGTAGACTTTGAGAAGAATAAGAAGATTACATAAGTTACTATTGAGTACAATGTTTTAACATCAACAAAAATTTCACCAATAAAAGCCACATATGGTGGAATATGAATGAGCCAACCATAATTAATTATAAGCCAAATGCTATTAGTTTTAAATAGGGAAAACAGTCTTTCTACCTTAGAATGTTGAGTAAG